GGGGGATTTGCGCTATTTTTTTCCGCGGCGGCTGAGCGCCGCAGGTAGCTCGGGGCATTGTGGGACAGAGCCCGCACATCCCGGCCCGACCGGGCCGCTCGCCGCCCGCAAAAACCGCACCTGCCCCGCTCGGCCCGCCCGGGGCTCCGGGGACAGCGGGCTGGGCAGCGGGCACAGCCCCCGGGGAGGGAGAATGGAGGGGATGGAGCCGCGCAGCCCCCGCGCAGCCCCCGCGCCCACCCCCGGCCGCTCACCTGCGCTCCGCGGGTGCGATGCTGCGCTCCGCGGGATGCTCCGCGGGATGCTCCGCGCCGCCCGCACAAAGAGCAGGAAATGGCTGCAGCAAGTGCACTTCCGCGGCTCTCCGCCGGCCCCTCCGCGCTCAGCGGCGGCGGGGGGAGCCCCGGCCCCGCCGCGGGAAGGGGCTGGAGCGGCGAGAGCGGCTCCTCCCCCAGCGGCGCGGGGGATGCGCGGCGGCGCCGGGGCTGCACCCGCTGCTCGGCGGGGCCGGGCCGCATCTCTGCTCCCTCCCGGGGTCGCATCTTTGCGGGGGTCCAGTTCTGCCCCCGTTCGGGGCCGCGGGTCGCATTTCTGCTCCCAGCCGGCGCCGCTTTCCCCCGCGGCGGGAGCTCCGGGCTGGCGGCAGCGCGGCGCCGGCGGCTCCGGCAGGGAGGGAAAGGCCGCCAGCATCCCCGGGGCACGGAGGGGGCAGAGCCGGGGCCGGCTGCAGCTGCCCCTCGGAAGGCTGATGCTGGCAGGGTGGGTTTGGRTCCCTGAGAAGGCAGGATCTGGCTGGCGTTCTCATCTCGCTGCTGCCGGGCTCGCTGGGTCGCGGGTGTTGAGCCCCTGTGCCACTCGCAGGGCCATTGTTAGGCGGTATCTACCATTTTTACAAACGCCCTGGTGGCGGAATGTACACACATATAGAATACATACGGAGCCTCGGATGACTGAGCGTGTTGGGGATCAAAACCAGAAGGCAGTGCCTTTGCTCAGAGCTCTTCTGAGTCAGCACCACATCCAAAAGGTCTTCCTTTTGGCATTTTTGGCATCTGGCTTTTCTTCAGGGACAAGCTTCCAGTCCTTCTGCTCATATTTCTGTTTAAAGCTCTAATGCATCTCTTCAGATGTACTGTGAAATCCAAACTCACAGCTTCCAGAGGGACATTTTCTCATGGTGACTGATACAAACCCTGWATGGAGCTGTCTTGTTTGTTGGAAGACACTGGTGGGTACCCAAGGATTGAAGAAAGTCTAGATACAGGTCGAGATGTATTTCCTTGGTGGCCCTGGCAGTGTCCCTTTCCTGAGCATGAATTTATGCCAAAACCAGATTGCTCCCTGGCCTCTCCCGGACTGGARTGACCCCTCCAGTTCCTCAGACGCTGCTGCTGCTCTCCGTGTCAGTGTGGGGCTGAGCTGGCTCCCTGTGGGTGTRTGTTGGCTCTGCAGGGAAGCTGGGACACCAGGATTACACTGCAATTCTGCTGCTGGGATTTGAATGGATRCCATGGGCTGAAGGCACTGCGATCTGCAAATTAGAAAGGCAGCAGAACTATCTTAGGAATCAGCTGTGTTTTAAAGGACAGGACCACCCCTGAAGAAAGGTATCAATAAATCTTTGGGTGTAGACCCTTTCTGTGCATTGCATTTCTTTTTTTGGGGATTGGACTAGGGAACCTTTAAAGATCACTCCCAAYCCAAACTATTCTATGATTYTGTAATATCTRTTACTCTATCTCAACTTTGAGTGGAAMACTTCGTAGCCATCTTTTTTACTATTTAATACTTGTCAGAAAAATTCTGTGAGCACTGTTAGTGCAGACACAAAGGATTTAACAGCTAATATCATTCTGAGGCCATGGGTGAATCAAGGTTAGTTGAAGAAAACTGGCAGCAAAGACTGCTGTGGACTCTTTTTTTAATCTGGTTCCATTATCAGCCAGGCTTGGGGTGATGGGAATTCCATAAATGCTATGATACTATTTTAATTTTCAGCTCCGTGTTGTCTCTTAGCTGGTAGAAGAACAGAATGAGCTTCTCTGCATTTGTCCTGCAGATCTCTCTGGAGGCTGGGGAGAATGACAGCGAGGGGCAGCCCCATGCAGCTACAGCAGGAGCATGTGCTGGGTGTGGAGGGGAGAGAGAACGTGATGGTGGAGTGAGCTGAACATGAGAATACACATGAATTCGTGGTGGCTGCCAAGTGAGCTTTAGCAGAGCCATTCTCCTGAATCCTGCTGTGTTGACAAGCGTTCAGACAGAGACAATGCCAAACATCACATAAAAACATTAATTTAWAAATATTTCAGGTAATTCWAAAYTTTTTTCAGGTCTGATTTTAAAGTAGTTGTGCCCTGGAACAATCCCCACTTCCCCAGGGTGACTGACACATGCCCAGAAAAGAGCTTTTAATGGCTAATGCTGCCCACCAGTCCCTGGTCACCCCTGAGAAGCATCAGCTGCTCTTTCTAGATGAGGTTACTGCTTGACTGCCTTCTGCTAGCAGGGACTCCAGCCTGGCTGTGCCTGTGCCTGGCCATCACAGCAGCAGGTTGGGGACAYGCTGGGACACCGCTCAGGGCTTTGGCTCCAGCCCAGTGTGTGCCCAGCTCGGATAAGCAGTGAGGAAAAGGAGGGATGGGCACAGCCTCCCACCCGCTGAAACACAGCCTGGCAAAGGAGCAGTGCCTTCAACATTCAGAATGTTAGGAATGCTTTCTGAGGAGGGGTATTCAGAGCAAAGTTACTCACCTTGCAGTGGGAGACTGATATTCTCATCTCTGCTTTATAGGGAACATAATGGGGTCAAGCCACATGAAGGGCACTCACCGAAATTTGTCTTAAATGCTGCTGTGGTGGGAAAAGTCTGTTAGAGTGCACTGATACCAGGCAGTTATCCCACTCTTGCACTGCCCTGTTTACATTCCTGCAGTGCCCTGTAAATTATCCTGGGGAAACRCCCTCTGGGAGCACTCAAATATCACCACCCCAATTTTACGGGGATTCAGAGAATTTAAAACCACCAGAATGGATATTTAGACCTAAAAATCTGGTGTCTATGTAATAACCAATTTGCAGAGATTCTGAATGCTTCCTACCCCCATAAACCCAGCATAATCTAACCCCAGAACACAACCATAATTCTGGGGAGCAGTGATTTCAGAAAGCCAGAAGATTCCTGTTTACATCTTGGTGGAGGAGATTTGGATGAAGAGAAGACTGTGTGATTATAAGTGCATGAGGATTATAAGTTTTTGTAGTTTTGCTCATGTATATTGAAAGCCACAGCTGGGATTCAGCAATTTTATTGTTTGTAAAAGTCTGTATTGTGTGCATAGAAATACTGCAAAATAAAACTGAACRTAATCCATCACAACAATATTTTGTGCAACCCGCTCTAGCTAATAAATATTACACTTACTCAAATATAAATATAACCTCAGAAATGTCASCTAGCAGAGCAATATTGCTGCTACTTAATAGCAATGTCCTGCTGCTCAGCAGACCCCTGGTCCTTCAGGACTCCTTCAGTCCATATCCACGTGCCTGAAAAGATATTCTGGCTCCTAAAAGCTACCCTAGAACGAGGAGTCGGAAAAATACCAAAAATTAAGCCTCTTTCTATGAAGAAATAGTTTGACACAGGATACGTGAGATCATGGGATTACATGATTTCCTTGTTCCATTTTTGTTGGCAAACATTTGAACCTGACTTCTGCAATGACAGGASATTGCTGCTGAAAGTTTGCGCTTTGGTGTTTTTGTGAGCTGCTCTCATGAAAGGTTTCCTTGTACTCTCACCTGCCCAAAGAGAGAAGCATAAAAAATACATCTTGCATATCTGCACATGTCGTCAGTGAGCCTTGCTGATTTCTCCAGTGATTGTTAAGGCTTAGCAAAAAGTCCTGATCTAATTTACAAATTCTGCAGGACATCAACACCCACACCTTTGGGTTTGAAGTCAGTTATGTCAAAACAGTGTCTGTCTTGCAGTAAAATATGGATTTTAATTGAAATGCCAGGAGATGGATTTTGTTTATRCTTTCTGCTGTCACCATGTAATGAAGAACTCCTTGTGGAGGAAGAACCYAGGCAGTCCATTTGTACTGAACTTTTTCTTTGGTCAGTCCCTTTGTTCACAGAAGAGGTGGGAAAGTCTTTACTTGTGATGATTCAGTTACTCTTTGAAGTACAAGAAAACTCTTCTCATGATCCCTGGTGCACTGAGCACATCCTCTGCATGTTTTCTCCTCATGGCTCCCACCTGAGCCCTCTGCCTCCTTCCTTCCAAACACACAATTCAGGAGTAAATTCCTGTACCTTTCACAGGTAATCAGATCCTGGGACTCTGTCTTGTGCTGGACTGGAAACACGTAACATTCTGCACTGCTGTCCTCATGCTTTGCTCAGAGGAATTGGATGGAGGTCACATATGATACTTCTGATGTAGGAAAACTGAAGGAAGTATCCATATAAACATTCACCTTTGACTTCCCCCCTCCAAGAATCTCTTCATTTGCATCAGAGTCCCATTTTCCCACTCACTACACCATGCAATTTGAGAGAATTTCAAGRCTTTTCAGCACATTGCTTTTTCCTCTTCCTCCCTTACAAACTCACATACACACACAGCCACGTCTTCAGTTCACCAGGTATCYAAATCCTGTTCCTGTTATGCCACAGTTGCAGGGAAAATCATGCAAAGGGAAAACAAAACCACCTTGAAATACCAGCATCAGAAAAGCCTGCTTCTGTGTCTCCCAGGCTTAATCAGAGCTTTCAGGTCCAGCCCACTCTGAATTAGAGAGCCAGGGAAATGTCTAAACATTCCTCCTCAGTTAAAGAAAGCTTTTTTTTTTTTTTYCCCCTCCAGGGAAGACCTTCATTTAGGAGTTCACAGAAATAGAAGAGCAATGTCAGAGCTCTTAATTTTGAGGCTGTGTCTTCAGGAGAAACGCCCTTGCTGGACTGTGTGGCTCAGGATTCCGTGCTCACTTCTGCTTTTAAGATGCAAACCACAGTCTTGGCCAAACCAAAGCCTGTGCCTGTCTAGGCTCTGGAAGACCTGGGGATATCTTGTCTGTCTGGAAGTACCAGCCTCTGCCCTCTCCTTCTCCCCAGGCATATGGCAAGTGTTTATGGTGAGAGGATTCCTGTTAATGCTTTGTGTGGGGAAAATCCAGCTTCTCTCTTCTCAGGACTCTCAGCCGTGCTGAGCACACAGTGCCATGATTACACACCAAACTCAGAGATTTCACTCAGCTGAAACAGCAGAAGAGAAAAGGATGGCCGCTCGTCTTTCCCCTGAGCAAGGGAGAGGAGAGAGAGGAAGAACATTAATGTCAGCCTGAGAGGAATGGCGAGGTTAGCAAGRAAAACCTGGGGAAGAAACTGAGTATTAACAAAAATACCATCTATCCCTGYAGAGAAAATGCCAGAGGAAGACTCAGCTTCCTTCTGTGCAATGTTTCTTTTCTATCACCAAGTGAATTTGGCTTGGTGGACACCAAGGACCTTAAAATGGCTGGGCTGTCATTTTTACCCTCACTGTTAGAACTCAGCCCCACACATCCACAGCTTTCTTGGGAAGGAAAMTGTGGAATTATCTTGAGTTAGGTGCACTACATGGGCTTCTCAGTGAAGTCAAAAAAAGGCAGAGAGCCCAGAGGTGCTTGCTAATGCAGATGAAAGCTACAGTGCTTCACCTCCAGGATTTTATCTTGGGCTAGCATGTGAATCCTCCCTAAAGCCAAGGGGAAGGGAGTCCCTTCCTTTGGGAAACAGGGCTCTCCATTGCAATACTAACCATCCTCCAGCAGTGGCTCATCACCTCATAAATCGCCTTGGAGGCCAGCTTGGGTTTGTAGAGCCGAAATCCTGCGTTGATTTCTTCCACCACCTCTGCATTGGTGCGATTCTCRTAGGGGATTTTACCTTCACTGAAGACCTCCCACATCAGCACTCCTAAAGCAAACAAATGGGCAAAAATCACCGGGAGGCAAATAAAATCCTCACTAGTCCCAGGGCCCCTTTCCACCTGCTCTTTTCTGCAGCTCAGCATTGGTGCCAGTTACTTGGAAAAGCATTTTCAYTTGGAGACATCTGAAAAACCGGGCTTTGACACATCTGCACAGCTTGAGGATGCCAGTCAGGATCTCTGGGGCTCTCTGAATTCATGGTGCTCTCTGAAACATCTCCCTACTGACTTTGTGAAGGGCTTGAACACCCATCTCCCTCTGTGCAGCTCCAGYCACAGCTTCAGCCAGCCAGCAAAGGTTATAATCCTGCATTATTTACTGCTGGCCCCAGGGCTGAGTGGCACCCCATTGACTGTGAGCTGTGCACAGCACACTGCCCCATTCACTGCGTGGGCTGGAGAGGGGCCAGACCCACGAGTGTGCCAGATCCACAGCCCAGGGGACAGCCTTTGTTATGGCTTTGGGCAAAAACACACAGCGGGGCCCTTATCTGKGAGGGTCCAGAAGGGAGACCAAAGAATGGATGCAAATGGTGAAACAATGCCTTGGGGAGCAGGAAATGGGCTGGGAAGTGCRAGCAGTGAAATAACATTTTCAGAGCAGCATAAAGCAAATGGGAAAGGCAGAGGGTTTGAGTGAGG